CTCTGTTGTGTCACATTGAGGTTCATATTCATTAATTGTTCTTCACTGTAGTTCCTCAGAAAAAATATCCTGTTTTGACTATATCCCTATTTGCATCCTTGCTAGTAATCCTCGTTCATTCACTTCCTGGTGTACGAAGGCTCATGCAGGCCTGACATGGCTGCCGCTTGTCTGCATGTGAAATTCCAGCTCGGTGAATCTTTCCATGCCGCCGTCAGAGCCATGAAGCGTCCTTCGGTGTGCATGAGTGCTCCTGCAGGCCCGCTGCATCTGTAAAGTCTGTCAGCTCTGTTGCCCTCTGGGTTGCTGATCCAAATCCAACCCCACACCCTAAAAACCACCAGACTGCTCCCCTGTACCATCATATCCCAACTCCCTACATGTCGTCATCCACGCGCCATTTCTTCCCGAGCGCCTTACGCCAGTCTGAACCTATGTCAGAATGCATCTGTTCAACGCGGCTCCAGCCTAGCATACGACCTGCAGACGGTCTGGGATCCCTGTTGGCTGACTGACTGGCATAACCGCCTCTTATGACTTTATCATTTCTTTTGTTTGTTGTTCAAAACATTGAAAAATGTAAATAGGATGAGATCATCATGCAGTGCAGCATGCAGAGCCCCAAAATAATAGATAGATAGATAGATAGATAGATAGATAGATAGATAGATAGATAGATAGATAGATAGATAGATAGCAATAACAATAATAATAAATTATATATTTAATGTATACTTATATATAATAAATTATTATTATTATTATTATTAGTAATAGTAGTAGCACTGCTACTATTTGAATTGCATTTTGGAGTATATTTGACAACATACAGTCTTCCTTCATCGGGCCAATTGATTCAGGAGATATCGATAATTATCCTTATGCGTTGTTTATTACCTTTAGCCAGTGTTCCGAATCAAACCTGAATCTGTGGTTTTGAAAGGCTGAGCAAGGGCGAATGGCTAGATCAATAAGACCGCATTAATTGAGACTTTACGCATTCCCTGTGTTGAGGGTGCCCATCTGTGCGTCTATGTTTTATTCATCTTATATATCTTTCATAATCGCATTAAGACAGATAGATCTTGTCCCCTTGTAGAATGATTGATTAGCAGAACTGACGCTTTTATTTTGTAAATTCACTTTCACGCCTCTTTAGCGCCACATCCACTTAGCCCTTCAATTGTCTCTGTGATAGGCACCATAGGGTCACTAATATGTCCTTTTGTTACTTCAATAGTGACCTTAAACAGATTTGTTCAGTAAATTTGCTTTTGAATGTTATGTAGACGAGCTCCGGAGGAAAAGTTTGACTTAGCTGCTTCACTGGGAGTCCCGCTCAGGCCACACAGACTGACCCTTAAATAAAGCCCGGTGTATGTAGGCCTTGGGACAGCTAGTCCCGGCCAGAATGGCCTAATTACTCTCTTTATTACGAAGGTTAGTTGCGTTTCAGCAAGATGTGGTCACCTGAAATCTGTACACGGGTAAAGTGAGAGATATCAATCAAGCAGTCACATGACCAAAGGAGGAGAAAGAAATCAAGTTCGATAAGACTCTAGCGTTTACAGTATGGACAGAGTTTACGCATATTTTTTTAATGCATGTGTTGTTAATATATTAATCACCACCTGGAAATGATAATTAAATATATATACATAAAAAATGTTTATGAGGACTGGGGGGGGACTCCCCTGCTGGAAAAAAAAAGAGCGAGAATAAATCACGGGAGAGAGTTTGATGAGAAATGTGCCAACTGCAAACAGGCACAGGAAAGCTCCCGTGGAGGTGTGATCTCACCCACATAAAAACATAAACATGTGCGCTACAAAGCCCTTGCTTGTGCGTAATCAGTCGTCGAAACACACAGCCATAAATAGAAAAAAAAGACTGGGGAACTCTCTGTCGCTGTTTATGTGGCTTCAGCTAACAATAAAAAAACGGTTTAAATTTAGTAAAACATTAGTTCCAGCGGGTCCAGTGTTTGAGTTTAGAGAAAAATATAATAAGAAAGAATAAGAAAAATCTGGCCTGCTCTTAAGACACTTGTACAGTATTATCGGGGTGTTTTGTCGGTTTTGCCGGTCCCGAATATCACCAGGGATATCACCGTTCATACTTTTTTGTGCCTTCATTCTCCCAAAACGTCTGCGCACTAAACAGCACAATTATCGACACAATTTGTCTCCTCAGCACACTGCTAAGCACCCCAAAGTTCAAGGCCACGGTAGCATCCACCGAGGACGACCCAAAACGCCAGGGCATCAATCAACCCCGACATAAACACGGGTTAATGGTTTCTTATTTAACTGAGATACAATTAAGACACTTAACCCATCTGAGTAGTCCAACCCATAACAAAGATTACATGAAATTCAACAGCATAAACAACTCTTATGTTAAGGTTTCGTGTACAGCCACATTAAGAAAATTACCAAAAGTATCAAATCCAGCAAGAAAACAACCGTCATGCTTTTACGTGCCTGATGTGCGCCACATCAAACACCCAATCAGTTAAATGGGGTATGCTGAATGAGGAGTCAAATTAATGTTTTGTGTTGACGTTGCCACGGAGAACTCAGAAACCCTGGGTTTAACTGTCCCATAATTACACGATTACAAATAAACTGAATTTACACTGTTGAAGACGTTGGGAGTGACTTGTATCCTACATGGCTTTTTAAAATATCAAATGTAAAACCAAAGGGTCAAAAAGAAAACGTGAAATAATTAACAGCCTTTTCCGCGGGCAGTGTGACCCCGGGACCGGAGAGGCGCACAGTGAGCCTGGGCAAACGTCCCCCCGCCGGGCCGCTTGTTGCTCCCTAACTCGCCATAAACCCATATATCCCAGAAAGAAGTCCTAGCAGCAGCCATAAATCATCCGGCTGTATTACAAGCTTAGGTAAACCCCCAGCCAGGTCAGTAGAGCAGAGTTTATGGCATCACTTAGGTAGGGAATAGATTGTTCTAACAAAATACATCAACTTCAAGCAGTGCGAAGGAAAACTTTCAGCTTTTGTTAAGGCCAAGCCCTCTCTCGCTCTGTCTCACTTTCCCGGTTCACCCCCGGTGTCTACCTCTTTACCCCACAACTTTTGCACGACAGGAATCCACTCATCCATTCAAAGCCATATGTTTTAAGTCAGTGGTTCCTCACTGGGGTCCGGTGAGGTACAGGGGCCACTAAGAGGCATTCAAGGTTCCTTAGAAGAAGAAAAAATATATATGGGACTTTTAAAAAAATAGATATTAGAATTTGATTATTCTAATAAAAGATTTTCAGTGAAAATATTTCCTTTTTTTAAAATCACAGCCTACTTTGGTCTTCTTTTGTTTAGAATTGATTAAATAAATGAATAAAACCAAACAAAATACATCTTAACCGGTAACCATACTGTTACTAAAGTCACTCTTATTAACTGAGGTTTGACTCTAGGTCCTGACCGAGCAAATATTACTACGTGGAAATCAGAATAATTGGTTCTGAAGAGTTCAAGAAAGTGTGGGATAGAAGAATTTCTTAAATTGCGAACATGGATTGAGAGCCATCTCAGAGGTGGCAGGCTGTAAAACAATCTTCATTTAAATAATTTGTGTTTGTATTAGTTTAGCAGACAAAGCGACTTTCCTCTGCAGTTAAATAAATAAATAAATAAAATTAAACTCATTTTTCCGTGCAGCCTGCTGTCAGTTTTTTTTTTTTTTTTTTAAATCAAAGGCCCTGTGTATCTACAGCAGGCTAGTTTATTCGTAGTGTAAAGCTGGTGCGCCACTTGTATTTCAAACAATCGGTGACAAATCGGCAGAAAGTAAAATGCACCTTGGGGAAAAAATATCCATCAGCAACAACCTTTTTTCAGTTTCTGAGAGTGAAAAGACAAAAACTTCAGACGTTATGTGGACAGGTGGAGAAATGAGCTGAGATCGAGACGCGTTTGCTGAGCCAGTGGCCCACTGTCCTACTTTCCTACTGGCATCACAAGCCAACCGGGAGCCTCGCCTGGGCTCCGACATTCATACTCTCAAGCTTTAGGCCTCTTTCAACCTTATTTCGACTAGTCCATTTTTTTGTAAATTCCCAAACATCGCAGAGTGAAACAAAGTACGGGGAAGACGTAATAGAAGAGCGGGACAGTCGTTTACATCGCTGGGAAAAACGACAGATGGAATTTCTCATTGATTTTACGCACTGCAAACATCCACACAGAGCTAAGACAGATGAGCTGTCAGAGGAAACTGATAAAAATATATAACTGAGGATTACCAAATTCATATCACGTTAATAAAAAGACAATAAATAAAATAAAAACATCTGATAAAACTAAAATAATAATTACTGTAAGGATGAGAGAAGAGAGAACTCATCAGTTATAAAAATGACTTTACCAAATCACACGTCGCGTTTCAGATATTTCAGATTAATAAAAAAATATATTCAAAATGTGGGTTATGATTCAATCCCCTCCCCTTCTTTTGAAGCGCACATAAATATACGCAGAGTCCAGATGTCAGAAGGCCACACACCGAAGCAATCCCTTAAAATGCACGGAGTTGACCTGGGGAAAGTGCTGTGTGTGTGCGTGGGGGGAAAGCCGCGACTCCCCAGTGAGATACAGTGTGGAGCTAATGTCCTTAAATGACAAAGAAAGCACTGGCAGCCCTCACAATCCTGTGCTCCAAAAAAGAATACACAACGATCATTGAAATGGATGAGCTTTCGTGGACGCACAACAATTGAATCCTGTAAAGTCAGTAATTTCATTAGAGATGCTTAAAAAAAGAAAGAACGAAATCAGCCACGGCTGGTCACTTTCAAAAGGAAATTAATTCGGGGGGTAGAAATGGAATCATGATTTTTTTTGGGTACGGCTACATGAGCTTTAGGGTGCAGTGCCCAGCCTTTAAGAGGCACGGGTGCGGACTCGCTTGGTGTGGAGAAATACTAGGCTTCAGGAAAGCTGCAACATGAAACCTCCAGAACAGTTAAAATTTCTTACCTTCCACGGCAGACACCACAGGCAGCAAGAGGCTGCATAAAAGCAGAAAGTAATCCATTGTCATAAAGCGGTCAGGTCGGACATGTAAATAGACCCACGGCAGAGAGAGTGAGGAAGGAATACAATCCTGGGTGATCCGACGCTCCACGCACCCAGTCCCGTCCCGGTCCCCGCTGTGTCAAACCTCCAGGACCAGAGTTACCTCCATTCACCAAAACACACAGAGGTGAGAGTCCAGATCAAATATCGCCTTTGATATAAAATATTTCAGCCCTTCTCCCCTTTTCAGTGATTCCCAAAGTGCCTTATTAAACCAGGGAAAAGACAACAGGCGCAAGTCTCACGGTCCCTTCCCCTCGCATTGAGCGAATGCACTGAAAACAGGTAGTCCAGCCCGTGGTCACCATCCGGAGAATATTTCCAGCAGCGTTTGGATGATACTCGGTAACAAAAAAGACAGAAAAAAATGGAAATGCCAACCTTCTCCGAGAGATCCAAGCACTTTCTCTATAGTCAGAGCAGAGGCAGAGATAGCGGCAGTGCTGTCAGGATCATGCTGTATAGTCCCATACGTGCACGCTCACGTGCGTCAAGTGGTATTCCTATAAGGAGAGAGCCGCGGTTTATAGATATTTATTCCCTGAGCGAATTTATCGGCTTTGGCTGCCGCGTAAACCGTCTTGTTTCGCTCGGCTTGTGCACTGGAATGAAGCACAAGGCGGTGGATGAATAAGGAGAGGAGAGAGAGGGAGAGAGCGAGCGAGCGAGCGAGCGAGAGACCTAGGGGGGGACCAAGAGGAGGGGTTACGGCTGAAGCAGCTGCACTGAAAAACTCTACCTTGACAATCATTTACTTTCCACATTTATTCTAAAATAAAAATCTGTGTCTGCTCCAAATAAGAACGCATCGCTACATTTTTCTGCACTTATCTCCGGAGCAGCCTTTGTTTGTGCCACATGCACAATAAAGCAAACACAGGAGACGGTTTCTCTGCTTCTCTGCCAGATGTTTAACTGTGTAGTGACTACCTATAAGAAGCTTTAACAGTCTTATACAATGGCAGCTTTGTTAACTTGATGTTTTTTTTTTAATTCTAGTTTACTTTTTTCTGCAGCGGGTCACTGACTTGGCTTGGAGCGCATGTAAAAGCATGGACACACAGCGCCCCCTTGCGGGTCGCTTCCGTTTCGATGAATAGGGTCTGATTAAAACTTCTTTCTCCTCAATTATTTGACTCCAGAGCACTTAAACATTCCGGGGAATTTCCGTCGGACTTTAACTGTTTTTTCCTCAGATATATTAAAAAGGACCTCGCCTGTTTTCAAATTCGGTGCCTTGGACCATTACATCTTGGTTTTTATTTGAAAGAGTACACACATAAATAAAAAGCGATTTAGTGATTATATTTAAGTCGGAAAGGCAAATGAAGGTGATAAAAGTTTTTCTCCGATTTTCGATTTAGGAAACGTCGGCATCGGACTTTTCTTTGAGATTTAAAAAAATAACAAAAATGGAAAAACTTATAAAGAAACGGAGCCCTTAACTTGAGCTGAACATTGAACAGCCCCCGTATGTAAATCGCTTCTCTGTGTTTATAATTCAATGAGACATTTAACTCAATTGGTCGGGCAAAATGTTGCCAGCAGCGGTTTTTGTTTCCTTCGGGACCATGGAGCTACTATTTACTTTTCCTCTTCCCTGGATAAGTTAAGCAGAGGGCATCTGTCACGAGCGGGCTTTTCCAGCCTTTCTCCTCAAGCTCTCTGAATCTACATGCTGCTACCATGTTGTTTTATTCTCAAAACACCGGTAAACAGAGGGGTTTGAAATAAGTTTACGTTCCAGTCGGAAGTGAGGTCGCTTTTTGTCTCACAGGGAAATGATTTCCTTTATGCACTATTTGTCAGTTTTAGGGGTCATTACAGCACTTTGAATTAACGGAAATAGCCATTTGGTCATTTGCACAAAAACTGTGATTTATTGATTAATTATAGGGAACTGGTACTTACTTTAGAGGCGAGTAAAACTGTGTCTTGTTTGTTATTTTATGCTTAGCAATAATTATATGATGCCAGAGATGTTAGAGAATGTTCTCCACTGAACAGTTATGTAGTGGGCGATTAAATAGCGTAACTACAGTGTTGTTACCACGCTGTTTTCTCTCGTGTCTTTGGAGATAAGGGAGTGATCTTGCTTACACTGGTTTATTCTACTCGGAACTAATAGCGCTTTTGCTGCTACACAATGAAGCCAAAGTGACGCTAAATGAGGGGTTTGTCATCATTAGTGTAGAGTTGTAAAGCGATTGTGTGCCATATCCTGAGAACTGCAGTCAGACAGATGAGACAATGTTTTCCTGCGTGTGTTAGGTCGCCAGTGTCGATGGGATTGTTGCTATTTATTTGTATATTTATTTATTTAAAGACTTCATTTTTCCACATATTTTGGAATTTGTGGAATTTAAGTTTGCTGTTGTCATCAACAAGCACTTGAATACATTAAAAGCTAATACATTTTATTTTAATTATTTGGTAATTAAGCATTTTATCATTATGGAATATTCTGTGAAATTAGAAGTTAGACATTTTCTCAAAATTTAGATTTTAGCTTGTAAACCTAAACAACAGCAGTTTACACCACTGTTAGCATAGCACTCTTTTACTTTTGTTGTTTAATGTAATTTTGTTTTTAATGTATAATTTATTCAATGAATTGTTCTAACATGTAAAAGTGAATTAAAGTTTAACTTTTTTAATTTTGATTTTCAGTTTTTCAGGTTTTTTTTCAGGAATTATGAGAAAAACGTTGTTTATATGAGATTACAAAAAATAAGGGGTTGGATTTATGTATGAATACTCTCTTTCTCTCTTACATTTACTCTGTGCAAGACAGCAATAAAACTCTATATGAGACTTTTGCAATATTTCCTTCAGATAGTTATTAATAATTTTTTGTTTCTCCTCTTTTGGTAACACGGCAACTCAGCATATAGGGATCCACATATCCACACAAAGCAAAATAAATGCTCTTCATGCTCTCTATATAAAAGTTAATTTTAAACCAGCATGTACTGTCAGACTTACTTTTGCAAGAAAATATTCAATATTTCTGTGCAGTAAAATTTCTTTGACATTTAAAGTTCCCTATATTATGGGTTAGGGCTCACTGACACAAAATTTGTCCATTTCCAATAAGAATTCCTGTATACCTCACAATGACATAGTCCATTTGAAAGGAAAATCATTTTACAAGTTTAGCAACGTGGGTAGAAGGATCTGCGGTGGCTTCAAAGAAGACTTTTCATTGCCAAAAGCCACTGAAGCCCAGACTCTCCTGCCTGCTCGCTATTAATGGGCAACTTGAAGCACACAAGTTCATGACTACCACCTTTGTTACTTTTATGTGCTTCTAACGTCTCTTTGCAGGAAATGAGGAGCAACTTTGTAAAGGAAAGAAAAACATAATTATAACTTCAAAATTATGAATGTTTAGCTGCATTTATTTTTAAAGAATTTTACAAGTACTACTTTTCACTGTTGATTTTCTCTCTTTCTGAAGATCACAGAGCACACATCGTGGTCTACGATAAGCAAACGAGTGCCAGGGCAAGTTTTAGAGAACCCTCGTGTTTGGCAATGTAAAAAGATAAAGATAAATGTGTCAAACCATAAATATAGTCTTGATATAAACCAATAGACTTTGGAGGAGGGGGTGTTTTTTTCCACATTAATATATGCATATATATACACTTCACCCGTTGCCTACTGGTGGTGGTCAGAGGTCCCGGTGGCTCCAGTGTCCAGCAGCCTCGCCTCTGTCAGTGCACCCCAGGGCAGCTGTGGCTACAATGTAGCTGCCATCACCAGTGTGTGAATGTGTGTGTGAATGGGTGGATGACTGAATGTAGTGTAAAGCGCTTTGGGGTCCATAGGGACTAAGTAAAGCGCTATACAAATACAGGCCATTTACCATATATTATATATATATATATATATATATATATATACTGAGGACATGATAATAGCAGGATACTTCGCAGTTTTTCAATGTTTGAAAATTGAAATTGTTAAGATAAGATAAGATACCTTTATTAGTCCCATGAGTGGGAAATTTCATGTCCATTATCTTCCCAAATATAACCTCAAACAAATACATATACAGACATACTCTCCACAAACAAAGAGGGAAACAGTCCACTAAGTCCTGCGAGCGTCACAACAGCACCTGGCACACATTAGAAACTCAGTAAGTAAAGTGGCAGACATTTTACTGCCATATGGAAATTTCTCAAGCTTACACCTACTGAGCCCTCGCCAGACCCTCACTAACCTCATCCATCCTTCCGCCCACTCATCTTGTGCCAGGGTAACAGTGTCTCTACTTTCTGTTTTAAAGCAGCTCTGCACAGACGCACATAAGCACTGAAAAAAAAGACCTTTTATTATACACAATGAACTTCCTTCACAAATCACACGCATGGGTGCAAGCACAAACACGCACGGTCACCCCTCTAGCATGTATAAAACTAATGCGGACACACACTACACACACACACACACACTGTAGCTCTTATGTCTGGGTCTGGTCTAATAGCAGCACTAATGCGATGTGAGTGTGAGAGGATCGCTTTACTCCGGCAATATTAGGGGAATGGTGAGCTGTTGGTTATGTTAGAGTGTCTTTTGATGTATGTGTGTGTGTGTGTGTGCGAACAGCCAAAGTGTACTGGTAGTACTGGTGGAGGAGGAGGACTTGGTAGTGTTGGTGGCTCTGGAGAATCTCACAAAAGCTCAAAGCTGGAATCCAGGAAGAGAGGAGTTGTGTGTGTATGTGTGTTTATGTGTGTGTGTGTGTGTGTAGGAGACTGGAGGGCTGTTCACAAGAGTTTTGAGGGTGGGGGTCTAATCCTCCAGGCCTTCACCACTGACCCAGCACTTAACACAGGATCACAAACGTAGTCCCAACTGAACTCCCCGAAGACCACCATCATCCACACTCTTCTGCACACACCAGGACAAACACACATTCGATACCAGCTCCAGATCCTCGTGTCTGTAAATCGGCACCTTTCTGCTACCTTCTCTCCTCTTTCCTTACCATGACTGAGAGCCCAATCTCAGCCACAATCAGCTACTGTCTGTCTCTGGTGATCTATCGCCTTTCGGCCCTTTCTTTACCTAACTGAGAAAAGATATGCTTCACTGTCTCAGCCGACTGCAGATTTATGACTCAAACTGCCGTCATCTTGATTTTGCTGTTTGTACGCTGACAGAGACACCGACAGGAAGGCATTTAGATCGAGGGGGAGTCTCTTTAGATGGGCACAGTCAAATACACGTATGGGGGATCATGACGCCATGCAGGCGCACGCATACACGGCTGACAAACCGCCTGAGCATGCTAATTATACGCTGTGCAGAGAAAAAGCTTGAGAAATAACCCTTCAGCACTATGGCAGCAATGCACAGACAACACAAACTTGTTTGACACGGTTCGAAAAATTGATAACGAAATTTAACTGCTAATCGAGACACTCTGCCCTAAAAACACCTATCCCAACCTCAGCTGTGAAAGCAGCTAATAAAGCACCGAAACAACTAAATGAGTAGTTGTGTTTACAATCAAACTGTGTGTGAGTCTGTGACATGACTAACCTAATCGTCTGCTGTAGCTTAAAAAACTTTATTATTGCTTAACATTACTTCATGTG